CATTTTTATTGTGGAGGGTGTTAATCATGGATATTATCATCTTCATTATTTTAATTTTAGAGAAATACATGAAACAGTTTCATTAAAATTTAATTAAGTGGTATATGAAACAATTTCATAACCACATATGAAACAACTACATCAAAAAAAGTATTATATGAAATAATTTCACAAGATTAACAATTTCATGAAAAAATTTCATAAGATTAACGACGGATGAGATTAGTTTTTACGATTTTTACAAATTGAAGTGATTTTTATTTGATCGCTCCCCCCTCTCTCTCTCTCTCTCTCTCTCTCTATATATATATATATATATATATAGGTGAGTTCAAACAAAAACCATTCAATTTGTAAAAACCGTGAAAACCCCATTCAACCAATCATAATTTTTCATTTTGTTCATTTTTTTTGTAATTATGAGAGGTTGATTAACTATTTTTATTGTGGAGGGGTGTTAATCATGGATATTATCATCTTCATTATTTTAATTTTAGAGAAATAAATGAAACAGTTTCATTAAAATTTCATTAAGTAGTATATGAAACAATTTCATAACCACATATGAAACAATTTCATAACCACATATGAAACAAGTTCATAACCACATATGAAACAATTTCATCAAAAAAAGTATTATATGAAACAATTTCACAAGATTAACAATTTCATGAAAAATATTCATAAGATTAACGAAATGAGAGTAGTTTTTACGGTTTTTATAAATTGGATTGATTTTTATTTGATCACTCATATATATATATATATATATATATATATATATATATATATCTTTTGAGTTTTTATGATCAATAATTGTGGGCCTACTACGGAAACCAAACGCGTATGTGTATGTCTATATTGGAAAATAAATAAATTACTGTGTAGTACTGTACTATAAATACTCCAAAAAGTGAAATTACTTACCATAGAAGAAAGGGGAGAAGCATACATAACAATGTTAAGAGCAGCACCCATGAAACCTATTACATCAATCCTCATGTCTCCTTCCATCCCAAATTGTGTCACCAAAACTGCCCCCGCAAACACCATCACATCCACAATCCCAGCAACCTTTGCGGTTTTCGCCTAACCCACCATCATAATTAACCAAATTCATCATCAACCGCTTGTATATATGTATACATGTCATGTTTATAGAGACAGTTTCATTTGAAAACTATATATATATATATATATGTAAGAACCAAATATTCATGACATCCATTATGAATTAACATTCATTTCATGATGAATATTTACTTATTCATTATGAATATTTTGTTTTTGGTTCTCAAAATATTTCGGGTTTGTAAATGATTTTTTCCTTATATTTTATATGCATATGTGTATATGCCTAAATGAACTTTTCCTTGTATATGTAAATGTATATGTAAATGTATATGTGATGTATATATATATATATAGAAAGGCATATATACTCACTCTTGTTCTGGGAGGTGCATATATGAGGAACAAGGAAATGTAAACAATCTCTACAAGAATGCCAAAGCCATTAACAGTGGCAACCAGATAACTCCCTGGCTTTGTGATTCCATAGTAAGTCCACAAACAGGAGTTGAGCAAAGTGCAAATGTATGGAAGGCTCTTAAACTCTTCTGTAGATCCTTTCTTTACTATTGTCCAGAACGTCTTCCTGCAACCATACATCCATCCCTTTCACTTCCTCAACCAATAATAGAAGGAACCATTTGGGTGTGTGAGTGTGTGAGTGTGTGTGATTGATGATCAGATGGTGGAAATCAAGTCATCGTTAATTACTTACACTGGGGAGAGAAACATCAAAACTGAGATAATGTTGCCTGAAACAAATGGACAAAGAAACTGATCATTTGTGCATACATTCAATGACCAACGATGATAAAAGAGCAGCAATGAAGATACCTATAATCCCGACATAAAGATACAGGTTGTCCATCTTCGAGATCCAACAGAAAAACGGAGAAGATGAAGGGAAAAGAAGTGGGGAGTGATGATTATTGATTTCTTTGTAGCTGTCAAAAGAATTTGTATGTGTGATGTTACTTTCAATGTGCATAATGTTAGCTAACTGCTTATCTGTTTATATTGATGAAAACACAAAATATTGAATGGTTGATAAGTTGTTGTACATAAAATATGGAAATGATTGTTTATCCAATTTCAAAACGTGATGGTTACTATAACTTTTTGGAAAGAACAACTTTTGGCATGGGGTATTTAAAAACAATATATATATATATATATATATATATATATAAAATATACTAAAAATTGAATTCGGATTTAAATATTAAAAGGTTGGCTTCCATTATTTGTTTGAAGCTTTACATTGTTGTACATCTTAGCCTTATGATCATAAATGGGGAAGCCCCTTAGATTCTTGTTCAAATGTGTGAGGGAGAGACATGCCACATCTTCTATATGATTTGTGAGACTTATCAGCTGTGGGTTATAGATCACCAACAACATTTTGAATTATATATATATACATACATACATACATATACTAATAGTGTACCCAAATGATGCAGCGCGGGTGAATCATAAAATTCTGAAACATTAGTTTACCTTGAATCATAAGTTTATGTGGTTATTTTACAAGACAACTAATATATAAAGTTGAAGATTAATATACCGTATTAGCAATATCGATAGGAAAAATAATTGCACACGTGTTGAGTTTCTAAACCCATATAAAGTTGAAGAGTTAGGGTGGGGTACATGCAGGATCTGAAACCCTTTAAGATATTGTTGTTTCAAATTTCAGTTTACTTCAAGAGAAAAAAAAATCTTTGAATTTGAATTTGGGTTCAAAATAAAAAACAAACAAAATGTCAAACAACTTTGGAAAGCCCACACATATCGTTTTCATCTAAATATGACTTACTTAAATCTGAAACTTTAACCAAACAAATAGTATGTTTTAAGTATTTGTACATTATGCATAATAGTTTCTACTTAAGAGATTTTCTCTTGCATAAATTGATAATACTTTATGCTTTAAGAATTTTAATTAAGTCTTTTGGTCCAAATGCTTATTAATGTAGTATAGATTTGATGATAATTAAATAAGAACCATAAATATGTTACAAACCTATGAGGATCAATATAAATATATTTTTGTACATGAGTTTTTTCATTAAAACATATAATTTAAGATATTGTTTCAGATTTGTTTGTGTTCACCTTGTGAAAAGATTACATGTGGAAAAAAAAATTGGTTGACCTATTGAAATGAAAAATACACGTAAAAAATATTCACGTGGTGAAAGAAATACATGTGAAACTATCATTTATGAAACAAATATATGTGAATCAATATCTTAAATCCTAGTATTAGATGAAAAAATATCACATAAAAATATATTTTTATCGGTTTTTGCAGTTTTGTAACACATTTTTAGTTCTCATTTGATTTAGCCCTATATATATTGTTATTTTCATGTTTGTTTTATCCATATAATCATTATAAAATACATTATTTATTTATTTATTTAACAGATATTCAAATTATTTTGAGTATAATTGATCGAATAAGAGTATAATTGAATTAAAAATATAGTAGAAGTGTACTCATACAATATAGCGAGATACATTCTCATTTTAATATTTCGTTTTATTTTTTTATCAGTTGATATAATATGATTTATGCGGTTTTGAGAAATATGATGTTTTTACTTTTGAGTAAAAATAAATTCGAAGACATCATAAAAGTTTGAAAACGTATATCGATATTAATATTAAATATAGTTCTCGTTTTTTTCAATTTATTTAATTCAATTTCTAATTGTAATTTAATTTAGGTCAAATAGTGAAGTAATTTATTTTTGGTTGAACAATAAATTTTTTCTGAAGATAATGATTCTGTTAAAACTCAATAATTATCTTAATCATATTTTAGATTTTGTATATTTAAAATGAAATGTTTATCTTATATTTAATTATGTTTATCTACAGTTAGTTATACGAATTCAAAATAAAGCTTTAATAAGTTGTATTTATGCACAATTTACTTGTAATCTTAAATTTTAAGTAATATGCATTATTACACAGTACTTCCTACATAAAGAATGATTTTTAAGAGTTTTTTTTGTCAAATGCTTTATAATATAGTATAGATAACAATAATATAATGATTAATTATTATAATTGAAACCGGATATACCTACACTTTTTATATGTTATGCTCAGAGAGTAAATTGGTATAATTTAAAATAAATTAACTATCCCAACTAAAATTACATGATAGTGACCCAAATCCAATAATATTTAACAAATAAATAAATAACCAACAAATAAATAATTCTTTGTGAAAAAAGAAGAAGCATGGAATAGGATCATGATAAATCACAATAAAACAAGTTTACCTTTTTTCCCCCTATTGTTTATGATTTATTTAAAATAAAATAAAGCATAGATAGATAGATCTAGATCACATTTATTAAGGTTTTTTATAATTCACAAAAAAAATGATCTTGGCTTTTGTTTAAAGATCTTTTTTCCCTGATACACCCTCAAAACAAATTGTTTTTATTTTTATTTTTATTTTTATAGATGAATAAAAGAATGTTCGAGAATATTAATCGATTCATCTGAATACCAAAGTTTATCAAAACATAAATAAACTGAAAACGTACTTGATTCAATTGACGTACTTGTAGCACACACGAGCAACGTGCTTGATTATCCCGTAACATAAACAATGACTCAGGTTTAGGTCGGATTTGATAATCTTCGTAGAGCTTACGTGGTGATAACGTGTTAAAGGAAAATGAAATAGAACAACGGGAATTAGAGATAATCGAAAAATAGTGTATTCTCGTTAACCATAAGCCCTTTAAATAGGGATGTTGTTGGTTCCGTTAGGGTCTACAAGATGTGTATAATAGTTTGTAGAAGGAGGGGGGATGAATACAAACACAATATTTTCAAATTTAAAATATATATTGATAAGAGAAGATCAATACATATTTTACAAGATTGTTTGCGGAAAGATAAGGTAAGAAAAACCTATCTAAACAATCTAAAGTTTACACACTTAATCTTAGCAAATAAGAAAAGATTTGTTGTTAAAGAAAAAAGAAGAAAGTAAGTTCTATCTGGGAGAGAACTTGTTTATAATACAATGAAAGGGATTCTAACTTGCTCTTGAAGATGAGAGTATATTTTGTTCTTAGATGTGTGTTCTCTCTTTTTAGCAAAAGCACTATTTGCATGGAGATATAACACATCTATTTATACCCGTTGCATTAAATGCACATTTAATGCAATGTAGTAGGGTTAGAACACGTGTCAAGCCTTAAGAGAAAGGCTTGTTCTTTGCTACAGTGAATAGTACAAAAGTCTATTCATGAGCAAACATCCTTTTACAAAGTTGATGGGTAATAGAGTCAACTAGACGGTTCTGTATCGTACTAACTTTTAGAAAGGGTATGGGTTTGTCCTTTGTGTGTATAAGGACAAGACAAATTCAATCGTGCTTAAAAAGCTTCTTTTGATCGCTGGATGCTAGAATAACCTGGAGGTCTCTTCAGCATTCGTCGAGGCTTGAACAGTCTTCACACATATGTAGACAGGCTTGTAATAACTGAATACCGCTTCAGATCACGTACTCGCCAGTCTCTAATCTTCAATTTCAGTCTACGACTTTCGCTGAAGGTTCTTTGGTGTGAGTGTTGTCTTCTTGAAGTATCGTTGTCGCTGATTGGATTTATAATACAAGTTCTTCAGCGATCGCTGAACAGACTCAGTGATGATCGCATAAACTGAAAAACAGAAACATAAATAGTTCGTATAAGGTAAAAGGGATTATCATCAAATCACTGAGAGAGATGATCAACAATCTCCCCCTATTTGAAGATAATAAGACAACATAAAGAAAGTTGTCTTATCAAATAATAGTAAGGAAAAGTAACATATAAAGTACAAGCCCAAGCTAAACTTCTGTCAAGTTTAGAAGCAACCACTCCCTCTCCTTCTATCATTGTGTCAGATCCTCAAATTGATAAGAAGACAATTAAATCTTTGATGTACTTTAGACAATGTTTAAGTTTTTCCACAGAGAAAGCTTTCGTATTGCCTTACTAGATTAATCTTCCACGATTCTTGTACTTGGGAAGTACCTTCATATTGAACACAAAGAGTGTCCCACATGGATTTCGAGGTTCTAAGCTTCATAACAGAATGATAAACCTCGTCAGGAAAAGACATGGCTATTATAGATCTCCCTCGAGTATTTATAGCCACTTTTTTCTTGTCCTCATCACTCCATTGATGAGGGAACTTAAGAATCTGCCATTTAGGAATCACGACAGTCGTAGCTGTTTCAGGAACAACCGGAGATATACCGTATGGAACATAAGGTCCATTCTCTATATAGTGTGGGATCTTAGGACGCACACCCTCCAAGAAAAGAGACATTCGATTTTCATAGAGACTGAAGTTGTCTCTTATAAATCGGGGAGGTTTGGGAAGAGAGCCATTATCGTGAAAGTTCGTGTTTGTGTCTTGTAAAGCCATTTGTAAAGCAGTAAATTATCTAGAGAAAGAAGAGATAATAAAATGCAGATAAACAACTAAACAAGACGAGAAGAAAACACTGTTCTGATAGCACTTGTTGGTCCCAGCCGGGTCTACAAGAGTTTAGAGGAACAGTTTGTAGAAGGGGGGATGAATACAAACACATAAAAATTTCATATTTAAAAATATATATATATATATATATATATTGATATAGAAGGATCAATACAAAATTTTTTTACAGATTGTTTGCGGAAAATAGAAAAGGTAAAGATAACCTATCTAAAATAATCTAATATTACACACAAATATACTTAGCAAATATAAGAAATTTTCCGAAAAGATAAAGACAGAAAGATGTTCTTCTTGGGTAAGAATTTTTGAATTTAGAGAGAATTTCTAACTTGCTTGAAGATAAGCGTATGTGTTCTTTTGTGTGTTATATATAGATGTAGTGCATGAGGAGAGCACTCAACTATTTATACCAATTGCTTTAAATGCAAATCAGAAGGGTTAGAACACGCGTCA